CCATGGAACCCCCCCTTTGGCAGAAGAAGTTGTCTTTTTGCAGTATCTTTGGATTCTTTGCAGTCAGTTTGCATCACTTTTCCTCCATTTTATTAGTTAGATCTACACCCAAATTTTAATTAAAATTAATGAGCTACACCTACTTAAGTGAAATGGAACTCCCCTTTTAATTTTTCTGGATCCGCCAGTGATACTGCTATGTTACTGGTACTTCTGATTGCTCCTTAAAGCACTGGAAACTGCTGAAATCATGATCAGGGGGCTAGATAACTTTACTAAGAGGCTTGGTAGTGATGCAAGAGTCCAGGACTTCAGTAATTTTTTTCTGAGCCCAGCCCTGAGGGGGGTGCTCAAGCCCCCTCAGCCCCCCCCTAAATACGCCTCTGGATGTCTGGCTTGATACTTTGCTGGTGTGAGAAAATGAAGCTTAGAGGAGACAGGACAGCCATCACAGATGTAACGTAGTGATCTTGATACGGAATATTTGGGTAATTCTTCAAAACCTCTTCCAATGCAATTCTGAAGAATGTTCTCCACTTCTTTAGCGGAATCTTCCAACAGAACTAAGATATCTTGACATACATTGGAAAGAGGAACTGGATTGGTGTGAAAAGTAGGTCGATGAACATTAATCTGGATGGCATCATGTTGATCAGTAACTGTCAAGTGTTCAATGCTTCTATTCTTCTCATCCTCATAACCAAAAGTAACACGATTCCTATATACTCCTTCTTCAAGGTACAGGGTCATGTTGGGGTGATTGGCTATGACAGCAACAAAACGAGTGAAGAAACCAGGAGGAACAAAACCAGTTTCAAACGTTATATGAAGTGGTGAAGCAACCTCCTTGCTGTGCAGACTTACAGCATTATCTTCACACAGCTTTAGAATGGCAGGAACAAAATACTGCTTGTATCGCAAGGAGCAAATATCTTGATCTTCAATAGTAACTTGAGCAGCAAGGCGAAAGTGAAGCAATACTGCAATGAAATCTTCAGGCTTAAGATCTCCGCATTCCTTCCAGACTGATGAATACAGTGGTTGTGTGAGGATACCATATTGATAAAATATCTCCCACTCCCTGACATGTGTAGCGCTAGCTTGAAATGTGAAGATCTTTCCAAGAGCATCGATAAAGAACTTTGGGTCAACTATGACTTTCTCTTTAAGACCCTCTAGCTGAGGATAATATAGAACAGATCCCAAATCATGATAGAATAAGAGAACCTGAGGTACATCTTCTGGAGGAATCTTGCACACAGCACCAACCTCCATAGCAAGGGATAGACTAACAATA